TAGATCCTGGCACTGGAAGCAGCCCCCGCTGTGTCCTGCTTTGACTTGGACGTAGGTCATGGCTAGAGGAGGAGCCCTCACTTTCCCACCAGCCACTTGGGGAACCGTGGGAGTTGCCAGGGAGGAGGGATGAAAATGACCAGCCAGACCTGCAGCTGTGCACAGGCCCCAGAGGCCGTGCACACCCAATGTGGCAGGAACATACCTGCCACACAACCTGTGCCCACCTCCCTGCCTCCCACCCTCCACCCCCAGCTCTCACCCCGCCCCACTGCCCCTTCCCATCTCCCATCCTAACCCCCAACCCTCTTACTTGCAGACGCTGGGGGTGATTCCTGCTGACCACAGGCTGTACAGAGCCAAGTGTGCATTTCTTCCCCAGCCTAGGGAAGAGGCTTTTTTTTTTGGCCCCGAGTAGAGTGCAGTGGCGTCATCATAGCTCACTGCAAGCTTGAACTCCTGGGCTCAAGTGATCCTCCTGCCTCAGCTTCCTGAGTAGCTGGGACTATAGGCACCCACCATAATGCTCAGCAATTTTTCTATTTTTAGTAGAGATGGGGTCTCACTCTTGCTCAGGCTGGTCTCAAACTCCTGTGCTAGGATTACACATGTTTTAATTAAGCTGCTGTGAAACCTTGGGGATCTCTACCTAAAACTGGTAACCCATTTTTAGCAATAATGGTTTACAAAACCAACCAAAAAAGAAATTCCTGACCACAAACAATTCCAGAGGCTCCCAAGTGGCCTTGTTTGAAGAGTGGGAGACGTTGCTTTCCCTCCTTTGTAAAACCTTACCCCACCTCCTGCAGCTGCTCACCCTGAAAACCTTGACCCACCCTATACCCTCAAGTTGAATGTTCAGTCTACTCTTTTGTTTTTAAATATACTTCATTTAATATTATTTAATAAATTATCTAATAAATAAGTTATTTAATACATTTTGTCAAGAACTGACATTTTGCCAATATTGAGTCTTCTTATCTATAACCATGAAATACCTCTCCATTTATTTAGTTCTTCTTTGCATTCTTTTATCACACTTTTGTAGTTTTGCTCATACAGATCTCATATGCATTTTGTTAGATTTATACCTAAGTATTTCATTTTGGGGGATGCTAATGTAAATGGTTTTGAGTTTTGAATTTTAAATTCCATGTATTCATTGCTCATATATAGGAAAGCAATGGACTTTTGTATATTTACCTTATATCCTGCAACCTTACTATAATTGTCTTTAGTTCAAGGAGTTGTTTTTGGTTGTTGTTGTTGATTTTTTGGATTTTTTTCATGCCATCTGTAAACAAAGGCAGTTTTATTTCTTTCTCCTCAATCAGTATACCTTTTCTTTCCTTTCTTGCCTTACTGCATTAGCTAGGCCAGTATGATATTGAAAAGGAGTGGTGAGGGTGGCATCCTTGCTTCGTTCTTGATCTTTGAGTTTTTCATCATTAGGTATGATGTTAACTGCAGTTTTTTTAGTAGATATTCCTTATCAAGTTGAAGAACTTCCCCTCTATTCCTGGCTTACTGAGAGCTTTTTTTTTTTTTCAAGTCGTGAATGTTAGGTATTAGAGTTTGTCAAATGCTTTTTCTGCATCTATTGATATGATCATGTCATTTTTCTTCCTTTGCCTGTTGATATGATGGATTAAAGTTATTGATTTCTAAATATTGATCAACTTTGCATAACAGAGAACTCCCACTTGGTTGTGGTGTATAATTCTTTTTCTATATTGTTGGGTTCTATTTGCAATATTTTGTTGAGCATTTTTGCACCTATCCTTATGAGAAATTTGGGCTATAGTTTTCTTATAATGTCTTTAGTTTGGGGATTAAGGTAATGTTAGCTTCACAGAATGAGTTAGGAGTATTTTCTCTGATTATCTTCTGAGAGTGATTATAGAGAATTGGAATAAAATTCTTCCTTAAATGTTTGGTAGAATTCACCAGTGAACTCATCTGAGCCTAATGCTTTCTTTTTTGGAAGGATATTAGTTATTGGTTCAATCTCTTTAATAGAAATAGGCATATTCATATTCTTCTTGTGTGAGTTTTGGCAGAGTGTGCCTTTCAAAGAATTGGTCCATTATGTCATCCAGGTTACCAAATTTATGGGCATAGAGTCATTCAGATACTCCTCAACTTGTAACAGGGGTGCATCCCAATAAACCTATAATTAAATCAAAAACATTGTAAGCCAAATGCATTTAATACCCTGATAACTCATCTTAAGTTGAATTCTTTTATTCCTGGTTCCTTTATTGTCTTTTTAACACCCGCAGGACCTGTTGTGGTGTCCCCCCTTTCATTTCTGATATTCACAATTTGGATCTTCTCTATTTCTTTCTTAGATATTCTGGCTAGGGGTTTATCAATTTTATTGCTATGTTCAAAGGACCAGCTTTTGGTTCCATTCATTTTCTCTGCTGATTTCTTGTTTTCAATTTTGTTGATTTCTGCTCTAGTTTTTATTATTTCTCTCCTTCTGCTTACTTTAGATCAATTTGCTCTTCTTTTTCCAGTTTCCTAAGGTAGAAGCTTAGATTATTAATTTTAGGCCTCTCTTCTTTTCTAACATATGCACGTTCTGATCTATATTCTTTTGTAGCCTGCCTAGAATGAAGGCTGTCATGTTTACTTTTATTTCCTCCTTGCTGGGCAGGGCCTCACCCGGTTGTCTGAGGTTAACATGCCATGCGTCCTCATTGTAGCAGTATCCCTTCAGGTATCTGGAGCCTAGGTTTGTCCCAACAGACAGGTGGTTTTGCTTGGCCATCGGTATTTCTAGTGCACAGGTGGGTCCACACAGATAACTCTGTTGGCTGCAAGTTCTCTGGGAAGGAGCCAGACTGGAGATTTAGTGAGTGTTTATGGGAATGACGTGAACTGGCCTCTCTATTTCTTTAGGCAGTCGGGATACATGACTTATCTCTCTGCATGCCTTTGTTTGCATATGTGTGTGTTTATGTTGGCCCGCTAGGAACTGCAAAGAGGCTAACTGGTGGTTCTCAGCGTTGGCAGCATGTTGGAATCCCTGGGGGAGCCTGAGACACACTGGTGTCGAGGCCCCACTCCCCAGCTCCTGATGACCCGACCTGGGCTGGGCCCTGGATGCTAGTGACTGAAAGCTCCTCAGGCGACTGGGACATGAGCTCAGGTTGAGACTGCTGTGCCAGACACTTTCCTATCAGAAAACCTTCTTCATCTACCCTGATTCCCCCAGAACTTACATAAGTATTAATCGTTAAGACATGGGAATAAGGAGTGAAAGTCCAGGCAACACCCCAAAAATACTGGTCTTAAACAGAGTTTCTGGGTTCCCCTGCCTTCTAAATAACTTTCCTGCTTGAATCATGCAGGGTCTCTTTCCAGTTCAGGAATTCTAAGGAGCCCCAGGAGAATTAACCGCAATGGAAGGATACTGGGAAGTCTTACAAAAAGACTCCTTTCTGCACTTGCCCAACAGGGTACATCCTTTGTGAGGCTTAATGCCAAGAGTCAGGGGACCCTCTGGCCCGGAGCTCCCTCCCCTCTGGTGCTTACAGAGACAGGTGGGGAGGGCTCCTGCAGGAGGAAAACATCCGCATTTCAAAGCTTCTGCTCTTGCCTCCGGCTGCCAAGTGGTAGAGCCCTTAGCAGACGGTGTGAGCCTCTCAGAGCGCCTTGGGCAGGGATGTCCAATACGCACACCTGGATTGTAGATTTGGGGTGCGAGTGGGAACGGGGCTGAAGGCCCAGAGATTGATGTCCCATTGTGGGGTTGATGGAGGGGAGAGAAAAGAGTGGCCACATTAGAGGAGGCAGGAGTGACACTAAGAATTTGGGGAAAAGAAAATATTGGGAAAAATAATGAGAAGGAGAGTGAGTATCCTCTCGGGAGTCCCTGTAGGAGGGTGGGGAGAGCTGGTCACCCCATGGGAGCTGGGGCTGCTGGGGACTCAGGTGAACGCTGATGGGGAGGGAATCCCTAAAGCCAGAGAGTGAGGTCAGGGCACTCGGGTGGCCCTCAGGTGACCCGTGAGTGTGAATGGGTCTAGCCAGGCATCTGCTGCCTACCCCATCTCCCACTCCTTAAGGAACAAGTCCCAGGGGATTGTTTCTAGAACTCCTCTAGAAACTGCTCCTGACAGGCTTGTTCCACTCTCTTCAAGTGTGGTCTACACCATGAGTGTACCAGCTCAGGGTGAAGGTGGCTGATGGTCCCCAGGGACCATGGCGTGGGCCAGGAGGTGGGCCAGAGCATTACCTCCCCCCACCCTGGCACCCATTTATTCAGGAAAAGTCTGTGGGGCAGGCACTGTGCTGGGCCCTAGAACGGAAAGCCCAGGGACAGGGAGCACTGCCCTTCTGACCCAGCCTGGCTCAGCCTCCGTGGAGCTCCTCTGTGGATCAGTGGGCTTGTTCCCGGTGGAAGCCCTGAGCAGGCCTGGATGCCAGCCGTAGGGCGGGGGGAGGAAGGGAGGCTGCCTGGAGGTGCTGGCGTCACAGCGCAGGCTGAGCTGGGTTCCCAGGTAGAAGCACATTCTGGGCCAGGGGCCGGCCATGCAGAGGCCTGGAGGTGGGAGGGGCACAGGAGCCCGTAGACCCTGGTGTGGGCTGTGCAGGATGCTGGACAGAGGATTCTGGGAGCGATTCTAAGAGGGGCAGGGAGGGAGCAGGGCAGAGAGGTGGGGTGACCCTGGTTGCTGAAGGCGGAGGAGGCCGTGTCTCCAGGCCCCCTTGGGAATGTGGTTAGTTAGGGAAGAAACAAGGTAGGCTGTCCCTACAGGGCAGTGGGCTGGGGCATTCCAGAGCTCAGTTCTGGGGGCCAACAGAGGAAATGGACTGACCGTCGCCAGTGACCAGGGGCTTTGCAGACAGCATCTCTAAAGCCTGGGCAGCCCCTGGTCCCTGGCTCCTCTCCTTCTGAGCCAATTCAGATGGCCCGGCTGAATCTGAGCAAAGCACATTCTCTTTTCTGTCTGTGGGATGTGTTTAACCTTTCCTTCCTTCCTTCACAGATCCGGACAAAGGACAGAGTCTTCGACAGCATCAGCCACCTCATCAACCACCACCTGGACAGCAACCTGCCCATCGTGTCTGCCGGGAGCGAGCTGTGCCTCCAGCAGCCAGTGGAGAGGAAGCAGTGACCGGCCAGCGCCTCTCCCGACACCGTGCGCCAGGTCAGGAGGACCTGGGGAGATCGGTCAGGGCTGCAGGAACTGGGGCAGCTGCCCGTGGCTCAGAGCCTTTTCAAAAGCCCCAAAAGGAAGGCTTCCTTCAAGGTCAAGTTTCATAAACTTATTCCAGGTTTCTCATATGCATATTAGAGGTGTACATACCTATATATCCTGTACAAATTATCCCTCTATATTTATATTTTTTAAGACTAAGAAAGATATAAGACTAATATTCTGTGCTGTATGTTTTTAATGAAAAAAAGTTTGACTGTAGATGTCCAGGCAAAAATTTAATTCAACTGACCCTTTCCACAAGGAAATTCCAGTAGGAAGGTGTAACCTGCAGTTTACCTACTAAGCACAATTCGAAAGGCGAATAGAGGCAGCAGGGGGATAAACACAGAGTCGTACTAGAATAAGGAAACATGCTGCCCAAGGATGTCTGGCGCTCACTTAAACCACAACGAAACGCTGGGCCTGTGCTTGCTGGCGGGGTGGGCATCCTCCCTTGGCCTGCGGTGATGCCCCCCGTGCTCCCTGCATTGCATGCCACGCGCTCGGGGTATCTGGCACAGACAACTCTCTGCAGCTTCGCTACAGAGCAGGCGGCATGCCAGCGTCCCCGGGTCGTGCTGAGCACAGGAACCCATCACCTTCGGTCCTGGTTGTGCTGGGGCACTTGGGGATCGCTTTATGCCAAATACGGGACAAAATGAGCCTCGCCGACCAAGATCTCCATTGTCAAATGCTTCCCTTGCTCTCATCCATGTGATGACGAATGAGTTCCTGTTGAGTGCAGTCGAGGTGAAGTCTTGGTTTGCACATCCTCTGGCCGGCAGATGAGCTACGGGCCTCTGGTGGCAGCTGCAGTGGAATCGCTCCCTCCTTCCGTGCAGCGGGGAGCAGGCATGCGGGAGAGCGCGCTGAGGCAGGCACGGCACCGTCCCGAGGAGTCCAGGCCCGGAGACGCGGGCACCGGCTGACAGGCCTGGGTCCGCGTGTGCCGGAAGCTCAGTCTGGGACTCAGGAGTCACTGGACTCGATTTGCGGTTCCACCTCTGGAGTGACGGAGGCAGAAGGGCCTGCTGTCCTCCCGCAGGCCTCCGCGCAGAGGGCGTGCGCCCATTCCACGCTTTGTCCTCACTCCTCCCTTTCAGATAAAACACTGTCGTGGCCTGGTGGGTCGTTCGGTGTTAGGAGATGGCAATGTGTATAACTTTTTAAAAAGACCTGGGCTGAGACTGCCCTGTGATTTGACAGATGTCTTTAAAAAGATAGGTGGATCCATTCATTCGTCGGCACCTCCTCATGGTGCTATAGCCCTGGTTCTCATCCCTGGGAGGCCTCAGAGTCGGCACCCGGGGCCAGCTGAACGGAGAGATGCTCCAAGTTAGAGTTGGATGGTGATAAATGTGATGCTTTAAGGGGAGACTTTCAAACATCCAGTGACTAATAATTCTGCGACGTTCTAATGCTAAGGGTGCGAACCCGTTTCTGCTTTGGGGGTGCATATGGCCAGATGAGAAGACAGGGGAGGGCTAACAGGTGAGGATGGACCAAAACAGGTCCCAGGCTTCATACGTAGCCTTCTTTGGAGTTTTGCCTTTTGCAGGCCCGCTGAAATCCAAGTCAGCGTTCCAGGGTGTTCTGCAGTGGAGTGGAACTCTGCAGAGCCTGGCACGAACTAGACCATCCTGCTGTTTCCTGAACCGGCTTCAGGCTGGATACGGCTCCCAGTTATCCAGAAGCAGCAGGGCGGAGCAGGCAGCCTGGACCAGGCTCCTGCTGTGCGACAGTGTGGTCAGTGGCTCGACAGCTGCCCTGTTCTCCTGTCCCCTGGGAGGTCTGTAGCCCTGGAGACACACATACAGCTCTGCCCCTCCCGTGTGTGAGAGTATGCTACATACAGAAATGTAGAAAATGACCTTCTTTCAACATTCTTGCATTCCCCAAGTGTGCAAGGCCAAAATGCTAATGTTAAGGAACACTAGCAAAGTAGGAAACGAAAGTTAAGAGCCATGAGCACCGTAATGGCTGATCTACTTTATCGTTCCTCTCCGACGGCCTTAAGAAATGGTAATCCACGATTTTAGTAGCTGTGAAGTAGGAGTTTATTTTGATGGTGGTAGGCAACATACATATAGAAAATATTTTTTTGCATGAGAATCGATTTAGAAAATTAAAAGTTTTGGGGTCAAATTTTTCTTTTCAATGTTAATTTGAAATGCATATTTTAAGCTCATATTACAAGATTGCTTACACTGGAGTGGCGCAGGTGAAAGAATTGGCACTTCTTTTAGCCATCAGAGCAGACTTCAGACGTGGTGGATGGCAGTGATTTGCTAATTCCTTTCCAGTTCATAAAGCGTGTTAGAATGTACATGGGTTTATCTCAGTCCTTCCTTCAGGCGCTATGTGATGGGTCACTCCTGTGAGTCCCACTTCACACATGGGGAAACTGAGGCTCCCACTGAGGTGGGTGCCGCACCTTGCTTGGGGCCATGCAGTCATCTGGCTGCAGAGCTATTCCGCTCACTTCGAGTTTCCCAAGCTCTCCTGTGCGCCAGCTCGTGCTTGGAGCTCAGGATTCCGAGGCAAATGCAACAGAGCCTCCTCCCTGCCCAGCCTGGGTCCCTCTTCCCCGTGGTCTCTCGGACTACATCTTGGCCTGGGCGGGGCAGGCCTGCTGAACAGCAAACGCAGGCAGAACGGCACTGTGCCGTGCACTCCAGGGGTTCAGAGCTCCAGGGCACGGTCACTGCGGGCCGGGCTGGGCCTCCCTGGGCCCATGGAGCGCTTCCGGGCCCTGCTACCCCTCCACAGGCACCCCACATTCAACCCAGCACTCCGTATCTGCTGGGAGTGCCGGGCAGGGCTGGTGACCTTAAAATAACCCCTCTCTGCTCTTGCGGGATGGCGCTGGAGACACCTGCCCACCTCTGAGGGGGCGCTCACTGTGCTTTGAGTCACTCTGAATACCAACCCCCTCTACCCAGTGGCGCACTGTGGAATCAGGTGGGCCGTGCCATAAACACCAGTCAGACGGCTCAGCCTGAAACCCCGCACGTCAGCTGCCACTGTTGGGCCTTTCCATGGTATGTTTGAGGGCCAGAAGCTGGGTGCCTGCTCAGCCTTGATGAGCAACTGTTCCATTTAAGGCCACCTCAGGTGTTGGGACAGATGGACAAAGGCCTGAGTGGGTCAAACGTGGTGTCACTGAGGGTCTCCTCGTGGCAGAGGGAATCGTGGATCTTTTCAAATGAAGGCAGGAAGTGAAGAGGCGTGTGTGGAGGGCAAGGCCTGGCTTAGAAGGGGAAACAGGCCCAGGAGGGTGGACCCAAAAGTGCCCACATGCCGAGGGGTACAGTGAACCCGTGTATCCAGCCTCTGTGCCCGCCCTGGGGTTCTGAAGGTGGCCCCAGTGCCTGAAATGAAGATTTCCTTCCTGGTAGCATCAGACACTGGGGTGGCTCCTTTATATAAGTAGTGCTTTAAGACGGACACCCTGGTCCTCATTTCCTCTGAACTGGTCGCCACGGGAAGGCAATCACACATTTCCTTCCTGTTGGGCTGAGCCAGGCAGAAGCCTCGGACCACAGGCCTCCCCAGGCAGCGCCAGCATCGGGGGGACACCTCCGTGCAGCCTCAGCTCGGGCACACCCAGAATGAGGTGGCCAGTTGTTGATGTCTCTGAGCCTCAGCTTGCTCCACGCCACAGGGCTGCGCACCGCCCGCCGCCAGAGAGTGCTGGGGCTGAGAGACACGCGCAGAGCACCAGGAACGGTTACCTCCTGGGAGTCCTCATTCCCGAAGTCCGTCCTCTGTCGCTGGTCCACGTTTGCACGCCATCCATAAATCCCCTTCTGCGGGTGGTGAAGCAGGACTGGCAGTGGGTGGGAGGCTCGCAGAGAGATCACTGCAGGACCCGGACAGCTCTTTGCAGCAGGTTTCAGAATAATGCCCTGGTTCTCCAGTGGAACTTTTGCAGTGAGTTCCAAGAAAGACACAGTGGATAAGCACGATTCCTGGAACATATGGCCAACCAAGAACTGTCAGCTGCATATGGGATGGCAAGGAGGGGAGCTTTATAAAATAGTCCAGCTGGAGGGGCCCCCATTCTTCAGCTGAGGAAACTGGAGCCATGTGACGTGCTGAGGATAAATCTCAGAAACAGCACAGGACTTACGAAGGTCCTTCACCCCTGGAGAATGTGGCACAGGGCGCCTCTCCCTGGGGTTTGCATCTGTGCTCCGGCTCAGAATGCAGAAAGCCCCAAGTGTTCAGAGGGAAGAGGCAGTATTTCTATTTCCTCTATCTTAGCTGCATTCCTTCAGGAGACCGGAGAGAGGCTCCGAGTGTCTGTCATTTACCCGGTGACGATCGGGGGCAGGAGAGAGAGCTGTAAGGAAGGGGTATGTCAGCGAGCCAGTTACCACGGTGTGGACAAGTGGGGCTTACTCCCACTAGGGAGCCCAGGGAGACAGGGCTGAACACACCTCCGAGTCAGGTCAGCAGAGAGGGGAGAAAGCGGGGGTATTTATCCACCTGTCTGTCGTTGGTGGGAGGCTGTTTCTGGGAACAATTTCTGACTGGCCCTGTGCACATCTGACACACTTCCTAAGCAAGGAAAGTGCTGTGCAGAGAGACAGGCTGGTGATGAGAAGACTTGGAGTGGAAGGCGGGCGTCAGGCTGGCTCAGACACAGACTGCAGCCCTGCGCACCCCCCACGTTCCTGACTCCAGAGGCCTGGAGCAGGGCCTGAAAGTTTGCATTTCAAAGAAATCCAGAGGTGATGCTGGTGTGGCTGGTCTGGAGTCTGTTTCCAGCCCTTACCTGTCTCTTATTGATGGCTTTTCCCCTCTAATTTATGAGTATGTTTTCATACTACTTCATGTCATAGATCTCAGGGCCCATGCTGTGAATTTAAAAGTGGAGAATTAATAAGCATTTATAACTCCATGCAACCGTTGCTGGCAGCTCAAATGCCATCTGCCAGCCACAATTTATTTATAATGGGGTTTATACATATTTATAAGTTTGCAAGCAACAAATGCACACTTTTAAAACTGGCACATTTTATAGCAGCCAGAAAAATTGCAACCTTATACCAGGACTTGTGAATGTGAATTGCATATGTACATATATACATGCATATACTCGCATCGACTGAAAGGGGCCTGCACTGCTCCCTGAGTGCTCACGCAGGTCAGCTCTGTGCTACGCACCTTGGGACTCCACCCTGGACTTTGGTTTGTAACTGACAGGGACAACTAGAAAGTCAAACAAATGTTAAGCCTTTGGGGATTGGCAGGCCGTGGGATCCGCCATGGAGGAGGGTCCTGGCCGCTGCGGGTGTGGGACCCCAGGACCAAGGGAGCAGGAACGTGGGGCAACAGGGCTTGGGGAGGCCACTGTGGGAAATGACAGAGGAGCCAGCAGGGGAAGACAAGGAGAGAAGAGGGTGGGGCAGGATAAAGGTAAGAAGAAGGGAGAAGAGGACCTGCAGCCAGCAGAGCCTGGCGGGGAAGGAGGAGGGGAAGGCGTGGCAGAGGAGCCGTCCTCGTAGTGACGTGCTTTGGGCGTCGTGTTCCCAGGTACGGCTGCATATACTTGGTGCGGCATCCCAGCTTTTCTAACCAGCCTCGGCCGCATTCGTGCGTTAGTTCATAGGTGGCAGGCCCTGTACTGGGCTCATGGGACAGAAAAGTGAACATACAAGGTTTCTGCCCGAGTTTATAATCTGTTAGGAAATGCACACGTACACATGCAAGCATGCTGGAGGGTGACAAGCCTCACAGCACTGGCGCGTCCAAGTTCCATAGGATCAGCAAGGGTGGGGCACCCAGGCCACTGGGGACTCTGTGCAGGGTCTGCAGCGCAGGAGGCAGGTGCTGAGTGTCAGAGGGGCAGAGGAGAGTGGGAAGGCTCAGGACGGGGCAGGGGAGTAGCCGGCATCAGCAGGGATGCTAGAGTGCGTGGAGGTGCCCCCAGCCTGCCTTCGTCCTCCTCCCTGCTGTCACGGACACCTGAATAAATGAATCCCTCAGGCCCCAAACATGCAGGCTCCTTCCCCAGGGCTGGAAGAACCGTTCTGAATGAAGAAAGCACCAGAAATAAAATCTCTTACAATTTTAATTTTCTATTTTGTGCTTACCTTGAAATGCTGTAGGTAGAAAAACATGCACACGGAGGGTGAATGCTCTAGTCCCAAGCTTTTGAGGTCATGAACTCTCACTCATGTAGACGTTTTACCACAACCAAAGTTTCTAACCACCAAAATCAAGTGACTATTAACAAAGCAGAAATTAATGGACAAACCCTTCTTTGAACATTGAGTTACCTTTTTTTGTAATAACTGTGTGTTGGTTGCAAGTGAAATATTCTCTGTTCATTTGATTTTTGAATATAACTTGTTCCAGAATATCGTAAAATTAAGTATGTGAATGTTTCTTTGTATTCAGAATTAAACATTTGGTGTTTAAATCCCAGGGTTAGGAGACAACTCCATGTAAATTTAATGTGTAGTAATGACATATTTATTACTCTTTAAAAAACATTTAGAAGGCAAACTATACGTATTGATAAATGAATATTTGAAAATTTTGTTTCCATTAACTTTTGTGAAGCAAAAAGAATGGCTATAATGTTCTGTGTCTTGGCCTGTTGCCAATTCACCACTGTCTACTTTGATATTGGAACAGACTTGGCCTTTTGGACATCCCTGAGGAGTGGAAATACAAAACTCACCTCAAGTTTTCCAATCTTTGTTCTGTGAAAAATGATAAAACCTAAGTAATCTGGCCAAGCTTCTGGAGAACTGACAATGCAATAGGTGAAGAGAATTGGCTTGAGTTCCCTCCTCACCTTCGGTGAACCCGGCAAAACCCTTCTTCACTCCTTCAGGAAACGCTGTGGTTTCCAGTGACGAGCCCTCGTGATGCGTCCAGTGCATCCTTGTGCTTCTGGGATTGCCAAGTGGAGGATCACATAGCATGGTGTCGTCACTGTGACCCATTAGTGGAAGATGACACTCCCAATTTAGGTAATGCTGCACTTCTCGTTATAACTGGTTATTGGAAAATGTGCCTTTATTATCAGAATAGTGGTGTGTGCATTTCTGATCATGTAGCAAACCCTTTGGATATTTGACTTAGATACTAAAAATATTTGGGTGTTGAGGTTTTGCACTTGTAGATACAATTTAAAAGCATGGAATTGGTCATTCAATTAGATGTTTTCTATAAAATGCACCTTGTTACATTTCTGTGAAAGGCTCTTACCAATGCAGAATAGCTATGGCTCAAGGGTTGAGAGAAACAACCATTTCCTGAATAGTTAATTGTTTAAATGACTATAAATGTAAGTCTGCTGGCAATAAAGGCTATTGTGAAAAGTCTCTTTCATTGGATGATGGATCTTGTATTGCCTCAGAAAGGAGAGGAGGGGAGCTTGGAACTTTTTCCTAGAAAGTAAGTATCCTCAGCTATTCCCCAGGAGACTTCTTTAAAAACAATCACAGCAAAGCCTTACTCCATCTGCCAAGGCTGCGCAATGAAAATGGCATCTTGGCAGAAGCATCCTGGGGATGTGATCTAGGCAAGGCACCTCGTCCACCTTGGCTGAACCAGAGGGGGACAGCTGCACCAGAAGGCTGCGGTCCTTGGTTGTGTCGGAGGCATTTCATCACCAGTTGGTGAAGGTCACCACAAGGACGGTTATGCTGAACGCTGGCCTCCTCTTTATGCAGGACATAGGACAGAGAGGCTAAACACTGGCCACCCGTATGAGAGAAAGCTAGAGCACAAGGGCTGGTTCTGACCACTTCTCTCCCCCTGCATAAACAGCGGCCAGTGCAGCAGAGCCCGATGTCCCGTCTCCGGGTTGCGCTGTGGCTGCCATGGGTCTCACGATGTTCTCCCTATCGAAAGGGCTGTCCACTACCCTGCCTCAAAATAGCGTGATCTATCAAAACCGTGTAAATAGCACCCAGTGCAGCAAAGGTTCATTAAATATGATAGTGGGGAAGAAGAAGGGGAAAGGCTATTTGGGGTTCTAAATATGATTTGATTTCCAAAGTGCTGAGTGACACAGGCAAGAGGCAAGCCCCCAGCATCGCACACTGCCAGGGTGGGGGCAGTGGGAAAACAACAGAACAATCCCACCACGTGGACTCCCAAGAGTGGTTTTTATTTTTAACAAACATACATTGGAAGTAGTAAAGGTTACTAACTGAAAAGAGATCTTACACGTAGTTTCTCTGCTGTGGTGTATAAGATCATCTGTTTCCAAACTTCAGGGTTAGGGCTCCGAAACACTCAGCTGCTAAATTATCTCCAGCTGCCCAGCTGGTCAGGCACGTGCCTGTTGCTATCAAAGGCGGCTAGTTTTTGCATCTAGCAAATGAGCACGATTACATTTTTGGTGTATTTTAAATTCAGATTGCTTAAAAGTCTTGTGTTGTCTCAAAGGAGCCTTATGTCACACCGCAGACATCGATACCTCCTAGTGGGAATGGTGCGTGCGGGCTCCCTGGAAGCGCTCACAGATGAAGCTGGAAGATGTTGGGACAGCTGGGTACAGAACAAAGTGTTACTAATATCAGCAACAGAGAGATCAAAGTCCCCCAAAGCAGCTCGCAACTATGACATAAAGTTCTAGTCATTTCATCACCTGTGCGAAAATGCAATACCAAACATTCTGGCTCCCTGATGCTTTTGCTTTTCCTGTTTTTTCTTAACCCAGTACCTTAATGCTTTACTCTTCTAGAAATGCCCATGCGATAATGTCTTATCTCATGCTATTTGATAAAACAATAAGCTACTTTTCAGGAATGCGGAGAAGGCAACACAAAACACCCCTAATGAACATCTTACAAATCTCATCAGTAACAAAAAATTAGAAAAGTCTTTGGTCAGTCCATGGAGGTCACCCAGAACCCCTGGAAATGTTCCTCGATAATAGCAACTTGCATCAGAGAACAAACAATAATCAATTTCTCTTAGAAAAAGTTAACGTGTTAAGATTACTCATTTAAGTTTTACTCAGCCAAAATTCTCACTGGACCTAAAAGACTTTAGGGTATTTTGAAGTGAGGTTCACCCAAGTAAGAATCCTTTTGAAGGTTGGTTATTTTCGTTCTTAATCTTATAAAGACCTCAACACAGCAGCTGTGTACTTATCATAGCTCTACAAACATGTTTACTTTTGATCTATTGTGTTGCATGTAGAATCCTTGGGGAAGACCATGTACAAAAATGTCTTCTAAGTAATCCCTTTATAAGGTAAACAGGGCGATATAGGTTCAACTTGCACTGAAAAGTAAAATTACAGTATCATGTGGTTATGATTCAATATTTGAAGAAGCACGCACTGCCAGATCACACCCCCAGCCTGACCACTGCCAGCTCTCCAGAAGCCATGGAACTGCCACTCAGCTGTGATACTATGGGGGATTTCTAACTTGGTGCTTTTCTGATGTGGAATCAAAGTGCTGTCCGTGCACCTCTCCTCATTGCGGGGACACCCCCTGTCACGGGCAGCAGGCCTCTAGCCCCTGACGTGGGAAGGTGAGCCAGGCCGGCTGCCTGCTCCTGCTTTTCCTTCATGGCTTCTTTGGCTGGTCTGGGGGCATAGAACTCTGGGAGACCTTGGCTGGCTCTTCAGTAATTTGCAGAAACCCCAAAACCATCATGTGATTTGGCTTCGGGATGTGCTCAAAATGATGCAGGGACACATGACTGAAGACACACAGGGTTTGTTTGGGTCAGACCCACACATCTGGGCCCAGCCTTGGAGGTGTCCTTTTTGAGAATTTGGGCCTTTAAAAACTTGCTTAACACAAGACTTCATGTCAGTCTGAGAAGACTGGGAACAGCGTGTCCACCTAAGTCACAACCATGTCCTTGTACCTGGGGGTTCCATCAGAACACCCTTGTATAACCTGTCACATAACTGTGTGGTGTAGAGACTTCACGTAGGTGTCACACAGCACACACCCAGAACACAAACTGGAAATAGAAGTGTAAGCTATACGAGCATCCATTCTGTGCACAATAAATGTAGTGAAGTTATCCAGACACCACCCAGAGGCACAGAGAGAAACAGTGTGTGCAGCCCACGACCTCCCCTCTCTGGGAACAGAGAGTGGTGTCCCAGCTTCAGCGGCAGGCGGCGGACGACGTCAGAGGTGTAGTAGTCTTCTGCATTCAGAAGACTCTGCAGCCCAAGACGGACAAGGCACGGAGTCCACACTGCAATGGGCTGGAGAGTCCTGGGGTCCGCTCCTTAGGGGACTCCACACTGGGCAGGCCTTGGGCACAGTGACGTAGCTCTCCCGAGTCACACTCTCGAAGGGCCCACGTGGAAGCGACGCATGCATCTGCAAGAACACAGCTGCAGGGCGGGCGCATGGACGTGTCACTTGCAGAGGATCCCATTCTGCAGCGTTTGGCTTCTGTCAACGATGCAGGACGAGGTGGCTGCGTGGGGCAGGTCTTCCCTGACCTTCGGGGAGTGGCTGCTGTTGTTGCTGCTGCTTGATTTGCTTCTGCTCGGGTCGAGAGCGGGCTGGGTGGGCGAGGCGTGGGCCCCCGGGCCCCTGACCAGGCAGTTGCAGACCAGGCGGAAGAAGGCGCGTCGCATCTCCTTGCTGGCCAGCGTGTAGATGACGGGGTTCATGGCGGAGTTGAGCACAGCCAGCACGATGAACCACCGGGCCTCGAACAGCACAGGGCACGCCTTCACCCTGCAGGCCACGTCGACGAGGAAGAGGATGAAGAGCGGGGACCAGCAGGCGATGAACACGCTCACGACAATCACCACGGTGCGCAGCAGGGCCATGGACCGCTCCGAGTTGTTGTGGTTGGCCACCTTGCGGCTGCTGGACTTCACCAGGAAATAGATGCGCGCATAGAGGATGACGATGGTCAGCAGGATGGCTGTGAAGATGCTGATGCAGAAGGCGATGTACTTCTTGGAGTAGAGCGGCAGGATGGTGGAGCAGTCGGGGAGGCTGTGCAGGCAGTTCCAGCCCAGGATGGGCAAGGCGCCCAGCGAAAACGCGATGAGCCAGCACATCCCGATCAGAAGGAAGACGCGGTGCTTCTTGTTGGCGTCGTAAGGCCTCATCTTGATCATGGTCAAATGCCGCTCGATAGCAATGGCCAGCAAGCTGCAGGTGGACGCCCCGAGGGCCACGAACATGCTGCCCTCCCGCAGGAACCAGACCGTCGGAGACAGGCTGAACGTCTTCTTGCCGGACATCAGAATGTTGACGGCGTAAGCGATGCCGGCCAGCAGGTCGCAGAGAGCCAGGTTGCCGATGAAAAAGTACATGCGGTTGTGAAATTTATTGTTTTTCCAGATGGCAATCAGAACCATCAGGTTCTCCAGGACGATGAAGCTGCAGATGACCAAGAAGAGGACGGTGGTGAGCGTGCTGCCCTCAGGGGCCTCCTTCAGCCTGCCTGTCAGCTTGCCCACGTAGTTGTAGTGCTCCTGCAGGGTCTGGTTCCCGCGGGCCGGCTGGGGGCGCGGCGGCAGCGCGGTCGCCATCGCTCGGCATTCACCGGCGCTAGCGCCGACGTCCACGAGAGGGCGCCCGAGGAGCGTTCATGTCACGGAAACGAGGACTGCGGCTCCGGCGTCAGTGCTGAGCGCAGGCCGCACCGCGGCGAGGGTGCTGAAAACGGCCTCCTGCAAAAGAGAAAAGGAGGGGCAGACGCTGACAGAGCGACCTCCACGGAGGGGCCGGCAACACCGTGGGCGAGAGGCACTGTTGAGACTCGCGTGGCTGGTCAGGTCGGGGCGGCAGACGTCTTTCAACACAAGGCAAGTTCTAGTGACTGAGGGAAATCACGGGAAGCCGTGTGGCGGCCGTAGCTGCCGGGAAGCGAAATCCAGTGCACGGAGCATTTAATCATGTCACGGAGACACACAGCCCGAATAAAGCCGCCATCGGGAAATCTCGGGGCACTAGGAAACGCTAACCAGATAGTCCTCATCTACCACGTGGGAGCTTGTGAAACATTAGCCCCACTTACCCAGAGAGAAACAGGATTTTCTCAGGACAGAAAAACAGGATGGAATCCGACTGAGGCCCCCCCAATTTCTGAAACCTCCCTGATGAGTTTTGGGGGGATGTGGGAAGAACCCGCACTTCCCAGACAGCCTCCCCTGGGGCAGGAACCGGCTCCGGAAATTGGGTCTAGATGGGCTGTAGGTTTGCCCAGAAGAGAGCCCTGGGCTCTGACCACGCGGCCACGGAAGGAAGAGCCGCACAGGCTGAGCACTGCCCGTGTGGCCACTGCACCAGTGGGCAGCCGAGTCCAGAGCTGGGTGAGGAGACGATACAAACCTGTAAAAATGGGACCCACTTCCACTGAGGTTAAAGGAAGAAAGGGAAGGCGATGAAAATCACATGGTCTTTGAGTTTGGCCTAAAATTCAGAGGTCTGAATGTTAGATATAAATGAATCTATTCATGCTGGCCAACAGGAACAGCAAGTTAGGGAGAACAGAGAGAGGGAAGGGGGTGAGCCCAGCAGAGGCTCTCCGCGGCTGTGAATTCTTATCCTTCCACCAGGCCCTGCACCTTCCTCAACCCAGTGGTAACTTCGATCGGCCTACCGTGATGTTGATGATAAAGCACACCCACCTATCAAGGCAGAATTTGCCTCCCGTGGACTCATGTACTTTAAATTAAAATTATATGAGTATTTAGATATCTAATTAAGATCAAATGAGGTTAATTTAAAACAGCCCACTGTGTGTATCCAGTGGACAGTTTTTCACTTTCATAATGTTTAAGCCATAGCCCTAAATTTGATTCAGAGACACACAGACCCCTGGCCAAGGACATGGGCTCTGCACTTTGGGGTCTGACAGCCTCAGCAGATCTCATCGACCCATGACTTCATTCCCTCCCTACATCAGTTTGGGGCACTTGGGTTTCCTGAGATGGCCCCTTGCTTCTTTGCAGAGATTTCTTCCAGAGTCCTGGAGCTTCGAGGTGTCGGTTGTTCTGGAAACCCCATCTGAGCTGACGTCCGTCCATGCTCTGCCTGGAACTGTCCCCTGACCCTTCCCCACCCCCTCCGTGAGAGCTGTCTGAGACCACGGAGGGCTGGGCCAAGGTCAGCTGGAATGCCGAGTGCTGGCAGGAACCTTTGTGTGTCGGCCAAGGCCCTGTGCTGACTCCAGAAAGGAAAAGCAGTTCTGAGTCTGGGCTGACAATGCAGGGTGGCCTGCCCAGGTCTGTCCCCCACTCATGAGCCATGGCAGGCAGCACAGGGACTGGCCTGCCTCCCGTGACTGGGGACCACCGCCCCAGCCCTGCCTGTCTCCCCATCCACCTGCACTGCGACCCCACCTCATCTGCAGGTCCTCCTGGAGGTGGACAGTCCAGGGGGCAGCTTTCCCACCAGCCCCTCCCACTCCGCCCCTCCTACTTTTTATTTAAATCCTGTCCATCCTGCAAGCCCCACTTCAAACTCTACCTGCTCTATAACATTTTCTGGAATCATCTCAGCCCCAGGTGACTTTTCTGTAAGGCTGAATTCTACTTTTGAAAAAAAAATTGCAAACTATCTTTTTAAGAGTAGAAATACAACAAGCAGCTGACATTCCCTGCGCACTGACCGCCCAGCCAGTACATCCGGACGCCTTGCCTGGAGGACCTTGCCTCGTAGCCTCGCCAGCACGGCCAGGTTCACGGCATCTTTCCCAGCACCCTGCCTTAATAGGAGCTCAGACGATACTGTCCCCTTTCCTACTGCTTATCTATTTCTTTATCTGTGACGGGAGAATCGCTATCTCCACGCACAGTGCCCACGGCAGCGCTTGAGGGCTCAGCCATTTCCCATACGACTGCCGTGAACGTGTCCTCGTTCCCGGGAGAGGCACAGAGCAAAGGCAGGACAGGGGTCAGCGCCCAGTGCTGGTGCCTCGGGGTCTCCCACAGCAGCCGGGGAGCCTCACCCACTGCCCGGCCCACGCAGCGGCTGGAGGGGCCTTCGCGCCCCCACATCCATGACACCGCAGTGTCCGGGGTTCTCTTGCAGCGTCTCTGGGATATCCACTGCTGGACCGACAAGCGGCAGACAGGCCATGGTTGCAATGCCAGCGACGCCTGAGGCCCCCTCTGCAGCCCAGGTGGGGATTCAGGTACAGCTCCTGTTCCTTGTCCTTTCGGGTGATATCAGTATGTTGACACAGTGTACACTGGTCTTGTGCTGACTTGGCTTGGCTCCTGTGCCTCAGTTTCTCCCGTGACAACCCTACGCCACCATTTCACACACTCCTGGCTCCTCCGAACGTCCCCCGCACAGTGTGGGTGGGAGAGAAGCCAGTCTCCCCGCCACGGCCAGACCTGGACTGGCTCCCGGGGCGGAGCGCAGAGGGCGGATAGACCCACGGCTCCTCCATGGGCGCACAGACAACCGAGCAGAGCAAAAAACAAACAATTCAAAACTAAGAACCAGCAATAAAATAATCACAATAAAACTGGTATACGATGTGCCAGAGACCCATCAAAACTGTGAATCTCGAGGGCAAACGTATTCTCCTTTACCGCTTGATTTACCATTTCCCTCAATTAAATATTCATCACTCAAGGGACATATTTTTCCAGAACATCTTTTGTTAAATGTGATTCTCTGATTGTGCGGAACTGGAAGATACCTGGCTCTCCTTGGACTCGAAAGCCCATTTTCTCTGGATTATCAACATTTACAAAGCAGGCCCCATCCTGAGAGTTAAGTGCTGGGCCGAAGGCCAGATTGATTTTGGATGCATCTAAGTGTTGCTTCACATGGTCAAAAGCATCTTGCGGGCAGGTTTCCTCTCCACTCCTGAGGGGTGCCAGCCACAGCCACAGAGTTTGCCAGGAGAAAGCTCAGCCCCCACCCCACCTGAGTCTCCTACAGTCAGCGAGCCCTGCTGGGGGCGAGGGACAGCATTGACCTTTCTGGCGTACGGGTACCGTCTCCGCCAGTCACTGCACAAGTGCTGGGCACTGGGGACACCAGCAGGCCTGGCAGGCCAGGCTGCTCCCCCCGCCCACAAAGAGGTCAGTGAGACCAGCACCCAGATCAGCAACAGGCCAGGATGGGCCCACTCCCAAGTGTGACAATGGTCTGGGCTAGGTCCTCTCCCCAGATGAATGCAGTCTGTTTCTGACCTTGGCATCAATGTAACCCTGTAGGACACAATTGTGTCTGGTGCCTTTCTCTAGCCATGGCACTCGTGTGAGCCACGCACGGGGATGCACGTGGGTGCTGAATATTCCTTCTTCTTGCTCTTGCTCTCGTGCGGATGGACGCACCCCTCTCCATCCATTCTTGTTCCTCGTCATGGGGTAATTCCTTCCATGGCCTGTGTGTTGTGGTAATTGTCAGGTAGCCAGGCTAGGATTGGTTGAGGACGTTCTCTCGGTGAACACTTGCTCATGTTTCTGCAGGGCCACCACGGATTTCTGAGCAACGCTTTGGTGTCCAGGCTGGGCTTTAAGCGTGACTCAGAGGTTCTGGCCTTCCTGGTTACTGTGTGCTCACACGAGCCCTGCCAGCCCATCCTGCAAAGCCGGTGTCTGTGGGAGCAGGGGCGGCCCCTCACAGAGTATTAATGCTCACATAACTCAGTATTAATGCTCACATTTTGCTTTATTCCAAAAGATAAGTGTCTGGAGCTAGCGGTGACATTGTATGTTTGATTGCTGCTTAATTTCCCCCTGAATACTGAGAAATAAAGCTGATGTTGAGAAGTGTGGCTCTGTGTAGACTAGTTTTGCACATACTCAGAAAAGTGGGGCGCATTACAGAAGGCGCCACAGAGACATTCTTTCTCATTAGTGGCGGTCTTCTAACCAATACAGTCGCGGGGCCGCCGCAGCCCACCCCAAGGCGGATTCTCTGTACGGCACTCATTTCCCCACAGTCCAGGCAGATACCCACCCCCAGCTCTTCAAGGAGCTTAAGCATTTGATTGTCTGCATCTCCAGGCCTTTCTTCTTTAATGAGAGACACTGCTCATGCCTGAGCTTCCCCTACTTCTACTCAATAAAGACCCTGTTTACCCAAGGGTTTCCATTTCATCCTCACCAAGCTGGGGTCGTCCAGCCTACTTCAAAGCATTTTAACACCAACACTTTTTCTTTTTGCAGAGAAGGAACATGACACCTTCTGGAAGATGACTCAGTGGAGGATGACCCCAAGTGAGACCCTGCCAAGGTCGGGGATGTCTACCTTCCCCCATTCCAAGGAGGCGCATCCGCTGGGGGGAGGGGCGAGCCCAGAGAGGAGCCAGATGGATCCCAGATGTGCTTTCTGCGCCAGCCACTCACTTTCTCTACATATGTCAGTTTGAAAAATAAACAAACTATAAAAAGGAAAAGAAAAAAATAAAGTATTTCCACAAAGCCGGTGTTCTCTCTCTCTCCGTCTCTCTCTCCCCTCTCCTTGACATAAAAGAAAAGCGCAATAGGATGGTGAGACATTTCTCCTGGTCAGACACAGGATGCTGTATTTTTAAAACAAATGTCTTCCCAAGAAAATTAACCAGTTCGTCCTCCAAACTGAATTAAAACACCAAGCATTTGCCAACAAGCAAAATTTCTTGGAAATCAAGAATTTTTTTTCATGCAAAAGAATTTAGAAAGGAAATAATGAGCTGGCCATTTCACGGCTCCAACAAAATTCTTTCTCTAATGAGTATTTTCCCCTGCTCTGGGTTTCTTGGGTGACCTCACTCTGCTTTTGGAGCTAGTCCATCGCAAAATGCATGCTTCGCACACACAGCCTGACACGCTCGGCCTGTTAACGGAGCTCCCCGTGAAATAACAGTCGTTACACACGAACCAGGTAAGGGCTTGACATCTCTCCCCCTTTTCTTCCTCAGAGCACAGAAGGGAATGTGCTTTCCTGGTAGGGCTTCCTGCTTCCCAGTAGCTTTCCTGCAAGTCCTTCCTTGACAATGAGGCTCGGATGCTGTGACAGACCTGGGCAGGCCAGCAGACCCCACATATTGAGGCTGTGCTGCAAGAACCTCAGGCAGCAGCCTCCACGAACGCCCTCCCGCGCTTCCGGACTTGTTCATGGGGAGGAAAATGTGTCTGACACAAGAGGCTTTCTGCCCCTTTGCCTTCAACCAGGCTTTTCCAACGTTCTCTGCTCTACTTGCTCTTCATGAGGGCACAACCAGCCTGAGCAAGAGCGAGACCCCATCTCTACTAAAAATAGAAAGAAATTAATCGGACAACTAAAAATACATAGAAAAAATTAGCCGGGCATGCTGGCGCATGCCTGTAGTCCCAGCTACTCGGGAGGCTGAGGCAGGAGGATCGCTTGAGCCCAGGAGTTTGAGGTTGCTGTGAGCTAGGATGACGCCACGGCACTCTAGCCCAGGCAACAGAGTGAGACTCTGTCTCAAAATAAGCTCTTTGGGGACCTGCCACCTTGCCGATTGTTCTTAACCTAGGCGGTGACAAGACCTTCTCTGGAATGCTTTAGAGCCAAACTGCTACTAGCTACTGTGCCAGCAAAATGGTGGAATGCCATTCTGGAGGCTTTACTGAAATATCTGGAAAATTTTGAAGCCAGAAAATGGAGCAGCACCTTCAAGGCCAAAGAGCACAGCTGACTGACTCGGGACTTGCTCCAGATCTCTGGGCCAGCCGACACCAGTGCGGCTTGCTGGCGGGGAAAACCCACTCCCTGGGCACCACACTCTCCACTGCGCAAGCCTGTCACTGAGTCGACCCAACTGGCCCATTTCCTTGTTTCTTATAGACCCAGCTTCAATTCCTCAAAAATGGAATGTGGAAAAAAAGGAAGGAGAATTTATGCCCAGTAGCTTTAACGATAATAGCAAATGAAATGTGTCACTAACTGAGACGAGGTAGGATTCCACTCAGTACATTCTTTTTCATTTTTTCCAACATTGTATTATCTCCAAAAGCTTAAGGAAAACCTTAAGGCAATTACTTCAACAGAAAATAAATGGCAAAGAAATAATATGAAATGGCTCCAAAATTGATAAGAAAGGAATTATGAAGCCAAATGTGAAGAAATAGAAAGGCTCGTGGAAACCCCAGCAGCGGCCACAGACCGGGGCGTGGGTGGCGTGGCCCTCAGGTAATGCGTTTCCTCACCAGCCACGGACCACGGCCTGGGGGCCGGGCACTACAGACCCAGGCACCCTGCTTCTGGCTACTGTAAACACACTGCTTCGGGGAGGCTCCCTGGCTTTGGCAGCACTTGAGAAACAGAACAGAGCAGTTTTACAACAGGGCAACCCCAAATGTTCCAACATTGTGGCATTCTCAAATTCTCATTTTTTTGGTAATAAAAATACATACATACATTGTAAGTATTGAAGAAGATGAAAGAGATACTGCGGAATCACGTCAGTGTCATAATTTCCATAAAGAGGAAAATCAGTCCCTGAATTTTGAGAAATAAAGTCACCAGGCCAACACATAAAGCTGCTTCTCCAGCTTTATGGTAGTTTCTGCCCTCTGCATATACTAGAAAATTATGAGAGTCATGCACTTTAAAAATTCACAATCGTAATGAGGAAAACAGCATTTTCAATGATGAAAACTTGTTTAGAAATCATTCTCTATTTTAGCTCTTAAGGGCTAGATTTGCAGTTTGTATCTCCGGTGTCAGATGACAGAAGTGACTTAGGAGGCCCAAAGTTAATGTTTACTGATTTAAAAAACCCAATGTGCGGTCCATCTATGCAGCAAAATTATCCATCCTAGCATTGAGCTCTGCATCAATTCAATAAGAAACTGTACAGATGTGGACACTTCCACAGCTCCTCAAGCAGAACACTGACACACCCCGGTTAGTCATATACCTGCGAACATAATCCTTTCCTTGTACTTTCTAGGAATTATATTTTTCTTAACCATTCCTCATGAGCATGCGATCACGTCCAGTGTGATTTCTGAAGTCCAGATGTCAGAAAGATGCCGGAGTCTCGGAGCTCCACTAGGAGTGGGCACCATGTACAGGGTGGGCCTTCTATTTTAGAAGTAATGTCGAGGAAGAGCTTCTGTGAGTGCTGCTGCCCATGCTTTATTGTAATGTTCAAAACAAAGTGTGTTTCCTTTAAAAGTCCAACAAGAAGTCCGTCTCACATCTAAATATAAAAACACCGCTAAGAAATATGCCATTAGGAGTGTCCGAAGCCAAGAAAGTCAGAGGGAGAGAGAGTCAGAGAGACAGACAGACAGACTATTCCGAGACTGAGCGACTGGGCGAAGCCCCTTCCCTAGGGTTTAAGATCAAGTTATGAACGCAACATATTGTACCGATTTTCTATGAGATCCTCATTATTGCCTTGTGGAGACTTTGTCTTAGAGCCCTGATTCTGACAGCCCGAATTGTCTTATTTGAGACATGGAAGGAAAAATGGAATTTTGTGACGGATATAATCTAACAGAATGATATTCCCAGACGAACGATCACAACCCTCCCTCCATCCCCAGTGTCCCCAGGCCCTGGTCCAGGGAGGGCGCCTAACTTTTTAATTGTTCAAGGAAAATGACTGACGGAACTTCTCCATGAGGAGCCTCTTCACTTTCATGCAGGTTATTCGGATCCAGCTCGTTTAACCTCTCCAAATGTAGTTAAAGAGGAACCGTCCCCTTCTCCCCCACGCACCGGCGTGCACGGCCTGGGGGAGGGGTGCTGATGTGGAACGCGTCGCAGCAGCGCGCCGGCGCGCCCAGGTCACTGTCGCGCCCGGGACTGGCTGGAATTTTGTCGGGGAAGTGAGCCCAGGGGGTTCCAGCCCACCCATCCCAGGCTCGACGTCCGCGCGCCCCCAGCCCAGCCTCGCCAGCTCACCTGCGTCTGGTAAGGACGCCGGAGCCACGGGCATCCTGGAGAGTGGCGCGCGGCGGTGCCGGGGCGCCCCTTTCTCCTCTCAGATGCCAGCCGGGCCGGGAGGCCCCGCAGTCTCGAGGCTCGGGAGGTCGTTCTCGGGCCTAGGGTCCCGCTTGGGCTCGTCCTGCCACCGCGCTCCACGCCGGGGTCCTGTCCCCTGGCCCCGGGAGCGGATTCCTCAGCCTCTGCCAGCCCCAGTCGGAGCGCAAACTTTTCCAGCGGCCCGCCGGGGCGGGGCCCCGCGCCCCGCCCC